GAAAGTTATTACATAATATTACGGTTTTCTTACGCTTCGTAAATTATTGTGCAATATTACGCCCTATTAAATTTGCTGATGTAGTCATCGGTCAGAATCATGTAGATTCAGATTACAAAAAACAAACAAAATTAATTAATTAATTACAATAATACTATCATATTGTTATTTTGCTATGTAGAATTTTGGAATTTATTTCAATTATGAAACAAGCAGTTATACATTAAATAAATAAATAAATAAATAAATAAAGTCGCTTCATCTCTTGTTTGTATTCTCAAGAATTTTTACACCTGCAAACCGTTTTACAATATACATTACCTTTTTATGATACTATGTTATTATTCGCTTCAAAATTTGGTAAATGAGTATTGAATTAAGCTGAAATCCAAATAAATTATGCAAATACAACATTTCTAGGTATAAAGACCTTAACAAGTAAAAGACAATATACAAATCTAAACAAAGAGAGAATACCAATCCTCAAAAAAGCCTAAATGATGACAAATAGGTAAATATTGAGGATTTAAAGGCAGAATTTGTATGCTCTTATTTTGTTTGAGCTTAACTAATACAATATAACTATGCCCATACTAGTGCAAAATAACAGGTTTTTTGCGACACCCAGGTTTTTGATCAAATGGTAAAAAAAGGAGACTCGATATTGAATCCTTACCAAATGCCACTATTGGCACATTAAATGTATCTGATGCCAGTTGTGCGCATTCAGGTACGTAAAACTAGTACTTTTGTGTGCATCCTTGTTGAGTATATGATAAAACAGTCATCAACTATTTAGTATCGTATCCAAGTGTGTTGTTATATAAACATTGCTGCTTAGCCAACTGAGATTTCATAGTAATCTTGACATCTTGCCATTTCTCTTCCTCTTGAAACAAAGCTATGGATAGTGACCGAAAACCACAATGACCATCACCAAGTGGGTTGTGTATCTACAATTATATGCATCTAAATTATTTTGTGGCTACGCAGTTATATTTTGGGCAATTATACATAAGCAAAAATTTACTAAGAAAATAAATTAGCTATTTGCAGCTAATATATTTTCTCAGTATATACTTAATTACATAGAGCACACTAATTTATCCCCTGCCATCTATGTAATTCTACTAAATATCAAAATATGAAGAGAAATAATACCATATTTTCGTGAAATAAAAAGCATGCGTGTTATTTAGAAAATTGTATATTCTAAAAATAGCATGCCTGTTTTCAAAATAATATTTATACACATCCTGAAATAATGTAAGAGTTTCAACTAATACTTAGCATATAGATTGCATTTAGGTGAAATTATGTCGTTATTTCAAAACAATGCCCATGCATATACTTTTAATTTAAAATAATGCATAAGTAGACGCTATTTCACGAAAATACGGTATATACTAATACCTAGTCATAAAATAAATAAATAAATAATATAATATAATATATTACCATAAAATCTCAAAATAGCGGGCATGGGCATTATTTCGAAACTTGGCCTGAATTAAGCTTAATTTGGGCCAAGTTTCGAAATAATGTCTATGCCTGCTATTTCGAGGTTTTATAGTAAGAGGTAGAATAATAAAAAAAAAACAATGTAGATGGATTAGCCAGAGGACAGTTTAGTAAGTAATTTCGCAAGCTATAAAAAACTAATTTTAATAGTTATAAAAACTAATCTTAGCAAACCAATTACTAAATTAAATACTTATTAAAAAATGAATTGACATATATATATATGTTTGCACAAATACTGCATTTTGAGGAATGTGCGAATCAAGTTCTATACCAGTATCAGTTAGATATAGCAGCACTATATCTTTTTTAATTTTTTTTTTCTAATCATAATTTTATCTGCTCCAATAATATACTTGTTGTTAGAAGGATGACCATGACTATGCTTGACTGCAGCATTTTAATTTCTTCATAGTTTATAATTTTATCAACGTTGGTAGTTTTCAAATTATTATGCTATAAAATATTCAAATCTTTTGTAGCTTCGGTATTTTGCTATCTTTGAAAATATAATTCAAAGCATTTTGTATAATATCCAATAAAGTATCATAGTGACATTCTGGCAACTTTTTGAAAATGTTAGCAGCAAGCTGTGGAATACGATTAACCTCTACACTATGTTGCACATGCCAACATTGATGAATTTCACTTGGTAGAATATGAGTATGCAAACACAATAGATATACAACAATTACATGTTGGCATGGTGTTCTAGTATGCTGTGGATGCATACATATACAAGTACTTGGCGTTCCAATATGCACTATACACGTTATACTTACCTCATCATCTAATTGTATAACCTCATATACATTATCACAGAATTTCAAAGCTCCATATTCTCCAGATCTTACAAGATCTCTTTGTTGCTTCACGTAGATTTCAAATGCAAATTGTGAGTATACTGTATATAACATTTCCAGACCTATATCTTTATCATC